GTGTGGTTTGTGTGTGTTTTGTTGTGTGGGTGTGTTGTGGGGTTTTGGTGTGTGTGTGTGTTGGGGTTTGGGGGTGTGTGGGCGGCACACTTTTAGTAAACCCAATTTTTACAAAAAAACAGCGTAGTTCAACGGCAGGCCTCCGCCTCGGGGTGGGAAAAAGTTACAAGATTTCCTAACCACATAAAACAGATAAAAAAAAAGGGTTAAAAGTCCCCGGGGCAGCGAAATGCCCGAGGAAGATACACACGTTGAAATGCTGCTTTTATCATTCTTGGGCAAGAAAATAGCTGACACAGTTTCCACTCGTGCCCAGTGCCAGATGATGGCACTGAAAATATAGCCGCAAAACTTCCCCCAAAAAAAAGTAATTTTGCCTACCTTAGTGTACAAGGGGGCACCCCAAAGAACAGAAACAAAGGAAACAGAGACAGAGACAAAAAAAAAAACAGAGAATGGTTATACAAAGATTTTTTAGGTGCAGGTACACAAGTACAATTATCATACATAGAGGAAATTACCTACCTGACATAACCCAAAGCAAGTCAAACTGATTTTTTTTCCACTGAGGATGAGGTTAGAACCTATCATAAGTAGTTCTGTGCTGAGGGCAGAGACCATAGAACCTGTGTCCTCACCTGTCCACCTCCATGGTGTGGGATCCCTGGGATAGCTATCCACTCTGGTGTGGGATCCCTGGGATAGTCTATCCACTCTGGTGTGGGATCCTTGGGATAGTCTATCCACTGTGGTGTGGGATCCCTGGGATAGTCTATCCAGTGGTGTGGGATCCTTGGGGTAGTCTACCATGTGGTGTGGGATCCCTGGGAAGTCTACCATCTGGTGTGGGATCCTTGGGATAGTCTACCACTGTGGTGTGGGACCCCGGGGGATAGTCTTCCCCTCTGGTGTGGGATTTTGGGATAGCTACCCACTGTGGTGGGGACCCCTGGGATGTCTATCCCTCTGGTTTGGGACCCTTTGGGATAGTTATCCATGTGGTGGGGATCCTTGGTACCTATCCACTTGGTGTGGGATCCTTGGGAAAGTTATCCCTGTGGTGTGGGATCCCTGGGATAGTGTATCCACTGTGGTGTGGGATCCCTGGGATAGTCTATCCATCGGGGTTTGGGATCCTTGGGATAGTCTATCCCTTGGTGGGGGATCCCTGGATAGTCTATCCACCGGGCGTGGGATCCTGGGTTGTCTATCCACTTGGGTGGGACCCTTGGGATAGTTTTTCCCACTGTGGTGTGGGATTTGGGATAGTCTTCCCACTGTGGTGTGGGACCTTGGGGTAGTCTATCCACGTGGTGGGGATCCCTGGGATGTTACCCATCGGGTGGGCCCTTTGGGATAGTCTATCCATTTGGGGGTGGGACCCCGGGGATAGTCTACCCATTTGGGGGTGTGGGATCCTTGGGAAAAGTTATCCTGTGGGGGGGACCCCTGGGATGTCACCCCTGTGGTGTGGGACCCCCTGGGTAGTCTATCCACTGTGGTGGGGATCCCGGGGTTTGTCAACCACTTGGTTGGGATCCCTGGGATAGTCTTCCACGGGGTGGTGTGGGACCCCTGGGTAGTCTATCCACTGTGGTGGGGGATCCTGGGTTTTTAGTTTTATCCACTGTGGTGTGGGTCCCTTGGGAAGTTTTACCACTCTGGGTGGGATCCCGGGATAGTCTATCCACTCTGGTTGGGGATCCCTGGGATATTTTTCTATCCACTCTGGTGTGGGGACCCGGGGTAGTCTACCATCTGGTGTGGGCCCCGGGGAAGTCTACCACTTGGTTGGGACCCTTGGGATAGTCTACCCACCTGGTGTGGGTCCCTGGGATAGTCTTCCCTCTGGTGTGGGATCCTTGGGTGTCTATCCACTGTGGTGTGGGACCCTTTGGGATAGTTTTCCCACGTGGTGTGGGACCCTTGGGATAGTTTCCACTCGGGTGTGGGATCCCTGGGATAGTTTCCACTTGGTGTGGGACCCTTGGGATAGTCATCCAATGGTGTGGGACCCTTGGGTATTCCCCCATTTGGTGTGGGACCCTTGGGATAGTTTCCTTGGTGGGGGATCCCGGGATGTCTACCCACTGTGGTGTGGGACCCTTGGGATAGTCTATCCACTGTGGTGGGGATCCGGGGGATGTCTATTCCACTCGGGTGTGGGATCCGGGGAAGCTATCCAGTGGTGTGGGACCCTTTGGGGGGATGTTATCCATGTGGTGTGGGACCCGGGATAGTTATCCATCTGGTGGGGGCCCCCGGGATGGTCTATCCACTGTGGTGTGGGATCCGGGTAGTCTATCCACTTGGTGTGGGATCCCTGGGTAGTCTACCCTGGGGTGTGGGATCCTGGGATAGCTATCCACTGTGGTGGGGCCCCGGGGTAGTCTTTCCACTTGGTGTGGGACCCCCGGGGAAGTCATCCACTCGGGTGTGGGTTCCCTGGGATAGTTACCCACTGTGGGTGGGACCCCTGGGATGTCTATCCACTCTGGGTGGGATCCCGGGAAATAGTCTATCCACTCTGGTGTGGGCCCCGGGATAGTCTACCACTTGGTGTGGGGACCCCGGGTGTTACCACTCTGGTGTGGGATCCCTGGGATGCTATCCACTCGGGTTGGGATCCCTGGGATAGTCTATCCACTCTGGT